CTAATATTGTTCCTACCATTTCTTATAAGGTTTTGCCTAGTTTAATTTCTCCAGCTATTAGTTTAAGGAGTTATCCTCTTGGATTATTTCTTTGATATTATGTGGCTATCTGCTTTGTATTACTAGTTAGTTTTTTTCCGTCTCCCTTTGTTTGGGCTTAATTTCCGAATAAATTTTTATTTTATATAATTGTCTTTCTAAAATGTTTTAGTTGTCCGTCCGTTTATGTTTTCGTTAGTGTAATCCAACCTGGTTCCAAAATAAGTTTGTAATAAAGTTTCAAGTTCAGAAAAAAAAAAATTTATAACTTAAAGTTTTTCTATATAAAAATTTTATAATTTTCTCAAAAAATTAACTGTGAATAAAAAATAAAAAAAAACAAACGATGAGCGTGCTAAAAGAAATTCATGAAGTCAATAAAACGCGGAGATCACCTGTCACCGGCTAGTTAGGTAGCCGTTACATACATAAAACCGACAACTGTCGGGAGTGTTATAACCAAAGCAGCTACTTTTCCAGTTCTGTCAAAACCTCAAAATTCTTGTGTCTGGTCAACACTTCTTATCTTTATTTTTCTTTTGTAATAATAAAAATAAATAAATATTATTCTTTTCTCACTTTCCTCTCGTCTCTTCTCTCCCATTGTTTCTTCTTCCTCGGCTACATCTCCCGACGTCTCGTTTCTTCCGGTGAGTCCTCCTCTCCGCTCCGATCTATGTTTCTTCTCCCTCAGTTAGGTTAAACAAAGGATCATTTTCATGGTCTAGTTCTTGAACATCAAAGGTAGTTTCAAAATCGGTTTTTTTATCTTTATTTTGGTGTTATCAATGTTGCGATTGAGATGAGTTTATAGTATCTAGGTTAGATTTAGTATATATTAATCGATTAATTTGCTGTGAATTTGTAAGATTCTTCGTTTTGTGTTGTTTCGTATTTGACTAATTTACTGTGATTTCTAGGGCTTTTGATAAACAATTTGGGAATTTTAGGTTTTTTTTTCTGGGTTAATGTCAAATTCAGAGCTTGGATTCATATAATCATATTGTGATGATATTCTTATTTATGAGGTTTTTTTTATTTTCTTTGAATGTGTAGTCTTTAACTGGTTGGTTTGTATATTGAATGGGCACATCATCTGGTTCAAATCATCCACACCAGATGTTACCACCACGTCAACAACAAAGAAGTGGAGGGATTGGGATTGAAACAGCTCTATCACTAGTCTCTTCGGATCAGGAGCCACCAAGGCGTGAGTCTCCAGCCGAAAGTGCGAGTTCTCAAGAGACATGGCCACTTGGAGATACTGTTGCCCCCAGGACCAAGACTATGATGATGGTTCAAAAGACTGAGCCTGATTCTCATGAACAAAGTGTGAATGTGATGCATCATGTGTCGAATGCGGATAAGGTATCGGTACGGGATATAGCTAGAGAAAGAGTCGAATTGGTTGCGGAGAGAATGCATCGATTACCGGATGAGTTTCTTGATGAGTTGAAGAACGGTCTTAAATCTGTTCTTGAAGGAAATGTAGCGCAGAGCGTAGATGAGTTCATGTTCTTGCAGAAGGTTGTTCAGAGTAGAACTGATTTGAGCTCTACGACACTTGTTAGAGCTCACCGGGTGCAGCTTGAGATACTTGTAGCGATAAATACCGGAATCCAAGCGTTTTTGCACCCAAACATCAGTCTTTCTCAGCCATCACTAATCGAGATTTTCGTATACAAGAGATGCAGAAACATAGCTTGCCAAAACCAATTACCGGCTGATGATTGCTACTGTGAAATATGCACTAACAGGAAAGGATTCTGTAACCTTTGTATGTGTACCATCTGTAACAAATTTGATTTTTCTGTCAATACTTGCCGCTGGATCGGTTGCGACTTGTGTTCACACTGGACTCATACGGATTGTGCTATTCGGGATGGGCAGATTACTACTGGATCCTCTTCTAAGAATACGTCAGGTCCAGGAGAAATAGTGTTCAAGTGCCGGGCTTGTAACCGCACTTCTGAGCTGCTGGGTTGGGTTAAAGATGTGTTTCAACACTGTGCACCAAACTGGGATCGGGAATCTTTGATGAAAGAACTCGACTTTGTTAGTAGGATTTTCCGCGGAAGCGAAGATCAACGAGGTAGGAAACTGTTCTGGAAATGTGAGGAGCTTATTGACAAGATTAAGGGTGGTTTAGCTGAAGCAACAGCTGCCAAATTAATATTAATGTTTTTCCAAGGTAAACCTGCTAAGTATATATATATGCTTATTTATGAATAAACATTACTCTCACGAGTATGTAATCTAATCTTTTTTTGTTACTGAAGAGATCGAGTTAGACTCCGCGAAGAGCTTTGAAAATGGAGGTCAGATGGCACCTCAGGATGCATGCAACCGAATCGCTGAAGTTGTACAAGAGACTCTAAGGAAAATGGAAATAGTTGCTGAAGAAAAGATGCGAATGTTCAAAAAGGCACGCATAGCTCTCGAGACTTGCGATAGAGAGCTCGAAGACAAAGCAAAGGAAGTAGCAGAACTGAAAGCAGAGAGGCAAAAGAAGAAACTTCAGATAGACGAACTAGAGAGAATCGTGAGACTTAAGCAAGCAGAGGCAGACATGTTCCAGCTCAAAGCCAACGAAGCAAAACGAGAAGCTGATCGTTTGCAAAGGATCGTACTAGCGAAAATGGACAAGTCTGAGGAGGAATACGCAAGTAACTATCTGAAACAGAGGCTGAACGAGGCCGAGGCAGAGAAACAGTACCTGTTTGAGAAGATTAAGCTGCAGGAAAACTCGAGGGTAGCTTCGCAAAGCAGTGGTGGTGGTGGTGGAGGAGACCCGTCGCAAGTGATGATGTACTCAAAGATTCGTGATCTGCTTCAAGGATACAATCTCTCTCCCAAGGTAGATCATCCTCAATCAAATGAGCGTAATCCTTTCAGATCCAATCCTTGATGCTTTTGTTCTCCCTTCCCTTCTATATATATGTGTGTAGCTTTCATATTTCAAGTTTCATCACTTTGTTATGTAAAACAAGTGTTTGTAGACGTGTGTGTCCTCTCACTTTGTTGATATGAAGTTGTTTATCTATGATGTGGTTGGTTTAGGCTATGTACCTCGTAAAGATTTAATAATTTAATATATATGCTTCATGAATTTAACATGAAGCATGTAACATAAAATCCCATGTATATTAATAGAGAAGCATTTTTGAGAGCAAAAGTTAGGTACTCTTACCATCCTTATATTAGTAAAGAGAAATACAAAATTGAATACGGGTCGGGTCAAAATTAAAAAAATAACCCGATTTTAACAATTTGATACTTCAAAATTGAATATTAAATTGGGTTTGGATACATACATCGGATACTTTCCATATCTAATTTTCGAATTGTATTATTTTCATAACTAATTATAGGATTTCCTAATATTTCTCTAACTAATTTAATATAATTCAATAAAAAATTATTATTATTCTTTCACTTTTATTTGATCTTATTTTTAATTTATGATATTATACTATATAATATAACTATTTATTAAAAAATTAATTTTTTTTTGCATATGTTAAAATTTGAATTTTTCAAAACGGACATATAATACTCAATTACACTCGGTTAACTATTTTGGACAATGGTTTAAAATCATTATAAGTATGACCAATATTAAAACCATTGTTACATTGAGCATAATAAAATTTTCAAAAAGTTTCAAATATTATAATTAAAAGGTTCAAATATATAAATTTTTTATAATTTAAAATATTGAAAATATTTTTTTGAAGACATAAATGTAATTTTGGAGACATAGTTTTTATTGATAAAATATATTATATATCAAACTACGTAAATTTTAGATAGTTCACGGGTAGTTTGTTGAAATCACAATTATAATGATAAAGCGAGTTATGAATAATGTTTTTTTACGAAATGAATTTTGCTACGGGTTGGTCCTTCAAAAACTATATTGTAAATATGTAATTTTTACGTATATTCCTACTTCTACTACAAAAATGGTCAAAATGAATAATTTATCGATAAATATTATTTCGTGCTGTTAAATTTTCACCGTCTTTTTAATTGTATCAAAACTCAATATATGATTAGTTACTCACTTTTTTCCTTTAATATTTTATTTAAACTTATTATACAAATATATAATTCACCGTAATCGACTGCACTGCAATAAAATCAAAATGTAACATATTCTAATCCGTTAAAAGTTATATATATGTAATTATTTCTCCTGCGCTGTAGCGCGGGCTCAAACCTAGTGCTCCTAAAAAATATTGCACAATTAGCACCAAAACAGTTTTCAATTACAAACATAGAATATTAATCGGTTATAATCATTTACCTTAAATTCCGTTAATTACCCTTAATCTATATATATAAAGTTAGCTTTTCTCTTTTCTCATGATGCCACCTAAGCATCCACCTAATCAATATTTTTATTTTTACACTAAAATAAATTTAAATTATGCATTTAGTCCATATTTATGTTACTTATAAGTTACAATTAGTAG